GTCCTTGATATTTTTCTTTCTTTCTTTCTTTCTTTCTTTTTTCTTTTTTCTTTATATTTCTTATCTTTATAGAATGTTTTTAATCTTCAGTCCTTGATATTCTTTCTTTCTTTTTTCTTTCTTTCTTTTGTCCTTTTTATATTTTTTTGAGAATGTTTTTAATCTTTCCTTGATGATATTTCTTTCTTTCTTTCTTTCTTTCTTTTCTTTTTTTTTTCTTTTTTTCTTTTGAAAAGAATGTTTTAATCTTCAGTCCTTGATATTTTTTTTTTTCTTTCTTTCTTTCTTTCTGAATTTTTTTTTGTCCTTTTCTTTGTCTTTTTTGAGAATGTTTTTTTCCTTGATATTTCTTTCTTTCTTTTTATTTCTTTCTTTCTTTTTTGTCCTTTTTTGTCTTTTTTTTGATTTGTTTTAATTTCAGTCCTTGATATTTCTTTCTTTCTTTCTTTCTTTCTTTCTTTCTTTCTTTCTTTCTTTCTTTGTCCTTTTTCAATCTTTTTTTATTTGAATTTTTTAATCATATTTGATATCAAAGGATTTCTTTCTTTCTTTTCTTTTTTTTTGTCCTTTTCTTGTCTTTTTTGAGAATGTTTTTAATTTCAGTCCTTGATATTTCTTTTTTCTTTTCTTTCTTTTTTTCTTTCTTTCTTTGTCCTTTTCTTGTCTTTTTTTTGAGAATGTTTTTAATTTCAGTCCTTATATTTCTTTCTTTCTTTCTTTCTTTCTTTTCTTTCTATTTTATTTTTTATATTTTTATGAGAATGTTTTTAAATCTTCAGTCCTTTATATTGAATGGATTTTTCTTTCTTTCTTTCTTTTTTTCTTTCTTTCATTTTATATTATTCATTTTCTTATTCATTTTTTTTAATAATTCTTTTTTTCTTTCAAACAAATGATGTTATTAACTTTTTCTTAGCTTCATCTTTCTATAATTTTTTTCTTTCTTTCTTTATCTATCTATCATTTGAATTATATATTTGTCAATTTCTTTCTTTCCTTTCTTTTTTTATTTATGCAATTTTTCGTTTCTTTTTATCTTGTCCGTTTTTTTTCTTTCTTTCTTTTATCTTTCTTTTTTTCTTTCTTTCTTTCTTTTTTTCTTTCTTTTTTCTTTCTTTCTTTCTTATATTATTCTTTTTTTCATGTCTTTTTTTTTACATATTTCTTTCTTTCTTTCTCTTTTCCTTTTCCTTCCTCAATTCGAATATCATTCGCCCAACATCTTTCAATTTTATTATTCCGTTTTTTTTGTTTGTTTTTTTTTTATCAATTTTTTATTTCTTTGCAGAAAAATTTTTTTCTTATTTACTATCATGTTTAAAATAGTAGTTCCAAAAATGCGACAGAACGCAAATGAACGACAAATGAACGACAAATGAACGACACATGAACGACACATCGATTGTTTAATTGAACAAACAGATTGGATGAATTGTTTCAATTAATAAAAAAATTTAATTGATATGAAATAACTTTTTTCCATAAATATTTCACTGTATACTTTTTTGGTTTACTCTGAGCATGAGATAAATTTGATTGAAATTTCATTTGTAATGTTTAAACCAAGTTTTCTTTTTTCTCTATTCTACCAATATTGGTTTTACTAGTATGGTTTTGTATGTATTTTTATGTTTTCTATTTTTCATATATATATATATATAATATATATATATATATATATATAATATATAATTTTTAACTTTTGTATATCTATAAATAAATATATATTATTATTTTTATATATATATATATTGTACAAACCTGTCAATATCATAAACAGTTTCTGGGTTTGTTTAGGTTTTTGTTCACAAAGATTTATTCAACCATATATCTTATATATATATATAAATATATTATATATTATTTAAAACATTAATATAAAAATCTAATATCTAGATCTATCTATCTATCTATCTCTATCTATCTATGTCTTGATCGGCTCAGGAGATTTTTGTTCTATCTAGTTATATCATGTTTATCTATCTAATCTACATATGAAAGATGTTAAGTTTATAAATTTTCCAATGGTGTTTTTTTGTCTATGATCTCAGACTGATCCTTAATAAAATTAATATGCATTCCATATGTGGTCAAATACGCCTATTTTTTTCTACTTCCCCTCGCATTACAGCTATTTCTGAGTGTTCTTGAATCCCTTACCTTGAGAACATGGCCTGTCTCAATTTTTATATTCTCCCTTTCCGTAGCTGCAAGGGATCTAGCTTGATCGGCTTAGAGGTTTTACATAGCAGTATTTAGTTTATGAAAAATTGGTGTTTTTGTATGATCTCAACCTGATCCCACAGAGGGTCGTCAAGTCACGCCTTTTGAAGGCCTCCGCATTACTTTGATGTTTTGAAGCCTTACCCACAGATCCTTTCTATTTAATTCCTTCCATATATATATATATATATATATATATATATATATATATATATATATATATGTGGTGTGTCCTTTGTGTTAACTCCTTGAACACGAATATCAATACCAAAGACGAGTGTTTTAAATACTTAAGTTTTTTCAGTTCAATAACCATCAGAATACATCATACTAACCATAATACATCGTCGAGCCATAGCACAATACACATGGCTTGAAGGATGCGTTCAAACATAAAATACATATAAGACACCGGATGTGTTGAAACAAAATGGCTATTTTTCTAGTGATTTTATAACATTTTTACGTTATAATTTTCGAATAAATGTTATATTTGCTCTACTCTGTATTGAGCACACTTTTAAGAATAATATTTGTTGGTTATTGGAATTTATTCCGTATACACCAATCCTATATATATATATATATATATATATATATATATCAGCATTTCACCCAAGCAAGGCGAGAGTGCCTCTAGCGCGCAAAGGGCTTACAGAGAGTGGGAGCAAGAGTAAAGAGGCGTGATAGAGGAAAGGATGAAGAGAAGGACAGGGAATTAGATCAAGGCATCTGAAAATGTCGATTGACATTGCATATGAACATTTGGAGAATATAGCTATCAGGGAAGCAAGCAAGAGGAAGGGAGTTCCACAGGCGAGAAGTGCGAGACATGTAGCTATTGGAGTAGAAGAGGCGACTCCTTTTAACTGATTCGACAGTGAAGAGATGGGAACGAGAAGCCGACCTAGTGGCACGTTTAAAATTATGCAGTTTGGGAACTAGCGAATTATGCTCGTCGGAGAACTTACCGTGAAAGTATTTGTAGAAAAGACAGAGGGAAGCGACGGCACGTCAGTGAGAGAGCGACTTTAAACGAGATGCCAGATCAGGGCCAATCATATTGCATATTGTTCTCCGGATTTTGCAAAGGACGAATGGTTGATTTATAGATTTGAAGGATGGTCTAGGGCGTGAAAAACCTTCTGGCGCGACACAGAGAACCAGGTTTACTTGCGGTTTATATATATATATATATATATATATATATATATATAGATAAGCTTGACTTTCCCTGGCGATCCGTTTAGCTGAAACCTAGGTAGGTTTGTCTGGCTCACTAGGTTTATCTAGGTCTGCTCTACGGTTGTATTGAGCGCTTTGTTAGTTAGTTGTTTACTCGTATCCGGGTTTTGTTCTTTGGGCTTCAAACCTGCATCTGTGCGATTTTTTGTCGACAGAAGTTCATGTTTGTAGATCTTTCTTTTTTTAAAATCTTTTTTTCCCTCGAGATTGATTTGATTAGCAAATCAAAAATTCGAGGGTTTTTTCGAAATGAGTCTATCTATCTATCTATCTATCTATCTATCTATCTATCTATCTATCTATCTATGTCTGTTCATAATCTATCTATCTAGCTAGCTCTCATTCTCTCCATATCTATCTATCTATCTATCTATCTATCTCATATGGAGTTTATCTCTTTATCTAATCATACTGAATCTATCTATCTATCTATCTATCTATCTATCTATCTCATATGGAGTTTATCTCTTTATCTAATCATACTGAATCTATCTATCTATCTATCTATCTATCTATCTATCTATCTATCTCTCTTTTCGATTACCTTTTGTATTGTCTCTTTAACCGCCACCTTCACCCTCCCTATTTAATTATATAAAATTACACTACCCATCAATTTCTAATCACATTTTTCCTCTCATTTCATTGTTGGAAATGTTACCTGATGATCCGAAATCCTTTAAAAAGGATTTTGGTGAAATAAATTATTGTAATGGTACCTTAAAGTGGTCTGTTTTTCATTAAATATTAGCTCTGTTCTTCACATTGAGCTCTCAGGATTTCATCCTCCTTGATTTACCAATTCGGTTTACCAAATTCTTCAAACTTAACTATATATATATATATATATATATATATATATATATATATATATATATATATATATGTGTTTGTGTGTGTGTGTGTGTGTGTTTGAGGATACACAAGGTGTAACAGGAAAATTGTCTAAATAGTGTGAAAGCATAATTATCTACCACGCAAAATGTTTATTATCTATTATTTCAGAGAAAGACCTTTAACTATTTTGAACCGTTTTTCGTAAGAATCACTGTAAAACATTGTTTTGTATCAGAACCCACTGATTTCCAAACTGAGCAATGCTGAGAGGAAAAAAGATTATTGAGGCCTTCAATAATGGTACCAAAATTCATACTCTGGCTTACATCTTCAAATTCCGTTCATAGGAATGGTGAATAAATATTAAAAAGAGGGAAAGGTGAGATGACAATTGGATCAGGAGGTCACAACAGGAAGAGGGATCATTATTTCAACCCAACTTTAGTAAAGATCCAACTCAATTCACAAGACATCTGACACGTGGCAGAGGAGTTTCAGCTATGAGCAGTGAAAAAAAAGACTTGAAAATGAAATTGTACGTGGAACGTGTGAAAAACCTTGTTACTCTAAGACAGAAAATTAGAAAGTCAGAGAGGTCGAAGGTTATCCTGAATAAGTTGGACAAATGATCCTGGAATAGTATATATATATATATATATATATATATATATATATATATATATATATATATATTATATACTAGTATGCATGGCCCGGCGTTGCCCGTGCTTGATCAAAAAAATCGTACGACTCATACAACAATCGCTATCACTTGACTTAAAATATTTTTGCCTTCCTTGCCTTTTTAGGAATGCCCTTTGCCGTGCTGAGGTTGCTACATGCCTTACTTCTTGCCTATCTCACACTGCGAATTTTTTCTAAACTCTATACTAAACCTTAAATCTGTTACGAAAAAAGAACTAAACAAAATGAACACAAAAGCTTTAAAAAAGGACTCGTAACTGGAAAAAACGAATGAAAAAAGAATGTTAACAACAAATACTTTTTCACACCCAACCCAGTTCTGTGGAATCAGAATCAACGTTGAGTTTAAGCAAGCGAATGAGCCAATTGGAGTAAAGTGCCATGCAGATTTAAATTTTTCCCACTTGTGGGAAAAATTTAAGTGGATTTTTTTAAAGGTATGTATTTTTTTGCTTGCTAGCCTGCTATTAACATTCGTGTCAGTCAGCTGTTGGCTCTCACGCTGGCCAATAGAATCTTGCCTATTCGTGGTAGCTACCTATTGGATCTCACTCTGGCCAGTACAAAATGTCCGTAAACTACATGAAAACTAACGTAGAAACATGAAAAAAATCGATTATTTTCACTATCGATGGGAGTTGGGAAATGCAAAGTCGGTCTTGGTCTTCCCGCTAACTTGGAGCATGTGCATGCAAATTTTGGTGTAAATCTGTCGAAAATTGCGGTCGTGCACAAACACACTGACTTATATATATATATATATATATATATATATATATACATATATCATAATTACGTAATTCATTGAATCTTAGAAGAAACCTCAACAGAATGCAGAGAGCGCTGGACGTCTGTTTCGTTCTGTCTTTGGGACTCATCAGCAGTGCACATCCACTACTGAGAATTGAAACTCGGACAATTAGGATATCAGGCAAACGCCATACCAACTGTACCAACGGGCCTCAGCGACGAAGAGGTAATGAATTAGACTCGATATAGCGCCGCTCGATCATATATTCGAGTTTCCCTTACCCATAGGACTGTGCCCAGGCTTCTAATGCTCTGGATGGAGTGGCTTGGGGATAGCAGTCGTGGCTCTCGCTTGGAGAGTATTTTTATATTCTGAGAAATAGAGCCTTATAATCTCGGAGAATTACAGTAAGATATCTTTAATCATTTCTAAGATACAACGGTTCAGAGTTTAATCTAACGATTGGACAGTTTTGCTGTTACACGATTTGGACAATTTTGCTATTATATTCGGCACACGCGTACACACACACACACACGCGTACACACACACACATACGCGCGCGCGCACACACATATACACACACGCAGATATAAACACACACACGCACATACGCACACAAAATGGGAAAAAACCGTATACATAACATCAGGAAGTGACAGTTGAAATTTCTAGGTCACGTAATGAGGAAAGAGGGCTTGGAAAATCTGACACTCACAGGACAGATTGAAGGCAAGCGGACATAGGAAAACAACGCATAACCTAGCTAGCTCGCTGGAGTAAATGGATGTTAGGACAACGTTTAGTAGAAATAACAAAAAAAGATGACATTTCTTTTGAGCTACTGAGGACAGGAGATTGTGGAGAGCCATGAACGCCAACGGTTCACGGCACATAGAAGTAGATGATTTTTCAATGTTAATTAACGTCTCAGTAATTTCCTCTCTATATACAGAGGCTGTATTTGTTTTGTGTTCGCTCCCTTTGACCAATTGGTAGACACTCACATTACAATGCAGTTCGTACTTCTACCAGATGTCCCGAAGAAAAGATATTTTTATCCTACATCTTACTCTCCTTATAATAGGAACTCCTTTTAGTGCTTATATGCACAATGGTAAGGTTTTCAACAATGACGTGTTGATGTAACTGTCTACAAATTTCCGTCTGGCTGTTACATTCTTCAATCAGATGTCGTGTAGAAAAGACAATTATCTCATATTATTCTGCTTATAATATGAAATACTGTGTTAGCTTCTATTCACAATGGTAATATTTTGAATAGAAACTTTGGAAGGGATAAGGGAGAAGATGAGAAGATACTGGTAAAGGATGAGAAATTAACAGCAGAATTAGAGGTGGAGTGGATTCGTTTCGAAAGAGATAGGCATTTATATTTACAAAAGCCACATCAGCTGCCCAGTCCTTACTTTCCAGTCTTGATAGACTTCAAAAGCATCTCCGAGTCCTTGTGGGTGATGCATTCTTCTCTCTAACAAGCGGAAAGTATCTAGCCTCTCTTCTTTCTGTCTCTACTTCGATAGAACTTACCTAGACAAGCTACATTCTTTGGTACCGTCAGGTCTACCCTTCACGGCTAGGACTCGCCATGCCACTTACATTATATCAAACCATCCGCATTCCCCCTGTATACCATCGATGAAAAGCAAGTTCCACCCGATCAGCTTCTTTCCGCGAACCTCTTCTCTGTGGAACAAACTGCTATGGTTTATGTTTCTCCGATCGCTACAATCTTAACCTAAGTCTAGGATTAACAATTATCTTCTTCTTCTATCCGCATAAACTGCCTCTTAATGTAACCCTCTACCTCGAGTGGCCCCAGGCCTTATACAGTGTGAATCTTCATGTAAATGAAATAAATAAAATAATGCAACTAATTCATGATACTGCCATGTACAATGCAGCTTTTCATTCTTTGTACCAAGTTATCACCATTTTTTCTATCCTGTTCATGTTTAGAGTCAACCGTTATTTTCCGCTACTCTACCTCGAGTGGCCCCGGGCCTTTTACAGTGTAAATCTTCATGTAAAATAAATAAATAAAATAAAATAATGCAAATAATATAAGAACATGTTAACCGTTATTTTCCCATGCTCTACCTCGAGTGGCCCCGGGCCTTTTACAGTATGAACCTTCATGTAAAATAAATAAATAAAATAATGCAAATAATCTATGATACTGCCTGACCCTTTCCATGTAAAATGCAACTTTTCATTCTTTGTACGAAGTTATAACAATTTTTTTTCATCCTGTTCATATTTAGAGTTAACCGTTATTTGCCCCTACTCTACCTCGAGTGGCCCCCAGGCCTTGTACAGGGTAAACTTTACTGTAGAAAAAACCAAAACGCTCAAGCAATTTTTTAAAAAAACTTACCTCCAGTTTTCTTTTAAAAAAACGTGATCCAAAGCAAATCATCTTTAAAATTGTCTGGAATTAGAAAAAGAAATAAATAAAATTAATCAGTAAATAAACAGGAATAAACTGGAAAAAAAATAATTACAATAGAAAGCAAATACAATCCTCGGACAAAAATAAGTACCACTTTTGAAGGTTGTATATAAAATGTACTTATAACCCCCGTGTGCAAAGTAATTGAAACAACCGCTTTAGTTTCGTTTCTTTCACCATACGGTCAGTTTTCGCCACACTGAAATTAATTTTTATTTTTTCTTCATATTAGTTCATTTGCAGTGATGTGCAGTAATAGGAATCTATTTTCGGGGTATATGATGAAATTTGTTTGGCCTTGAAAAATATTGCGTCATCCGTGATTGTATCAGATCTTTATTACGCACAAACACTATTGTCTCGACTGTTGATTAGTTGTCCTACGGCCATTGTCTGCGATGGACGTTACTCCAAGGTAAGGTACGAAAATTGTAACACTGCACGAACAAGCTAACGAGCCTTACCAGTGAGCAAATCAAAGTACTATAGATTGTCACGGAAACTCTCCTGATTTAAATCCAATCAAGAATCTGTTGTCAGTCTGAAAGGAAAGATTTCGTGGAATGGACATAAGAGGTACTAATATGTGCACTGGGTCATGCTTCATTGGAAAAAAATACGAAAATATAAATAATAACAGAATTATTCGTTGTGTTTCAATTGATTTGCATAAGGGTGTAGCAAAAAAAATCACTCTGCTGCTTTTGTGCGAAGTTCATTAGACAGTCACTTCAATATAAAAAGAATACATAACGATATTATTTATATAAACGAGATAATTTGTTTTG